CCCCTGAACTCGAACGGAACCACGAACCCTAAAACCCCTGAACTCCAAATAAAAAAAAACCGTACACTGTCCAGCCTTGAGCCCCTGAACTCCCAAAAGCCCCAAACCCACCAACCCTCAATCCCCTAAGCCCCCCGAAACCGTTAACACAACAACCCCCAACCCCAAACCCAAAATCCCATGCCCAACAACCTTCAACCCTGCAGCGAGGCCCCCAAAGCCCTAAAACCCTAGACCCTAAACCCTAAACCCTAGACCCTAAACCCTAAACCCCAAACCCTAAACCTAGACCCCATTTCGGCCTCAGCACCGAGGCAATAATCTCCAGCGTCTCCGTGTCCTCTTGCCGCGCGGCGATGCGAGCCTGGGCAGAGGAAATGGCACGACTGCGCCTGAAAGACATGTTGGGTGCAGCCCCCCAATAATCCTCTCAAGTCTGCGGTCGGGGTGAACCCAAACACTCGACACCAAAACCCTTAACCCTTAACCCTTGACCCTTGACCCTTAACCCTTAACCCTTAACCCTTAACCCACCGCCCTCCCCCGCCTCCAGGCTCAGAGGAGGCTTTGCAGGCTCCTGCGTGCCCGCTTCAGGCGAAGGGCTCGGGGACGCGGGGCCTGGCTGGCTTGGAAGCTCCTTTGACTTAGCCTTCTTGAAGGGTTCTGATGATGGGCCCTCAATTAGGTTATATAAGGGGTATATAAGGGGTACAAGTGCCTTTTACTAAGAGGACCATGCAACTACCCTAAGATAGTAAGTCTACTTAGTATCGGCTAGAAACCCTATTCTAATCCCCCATAACCCACCTTACGAACCCCACTTGCTAAGTCAAAAAAGGGCTTCCAAGGATTCAATCTTGAGGGGTTTGGGGGGCTGCAAGGGATTCGGTCGGGGTGCTTACGGTTCAGGGATCGGAATTGAGCCCCTAAGACCCTAAACCGTAAGAAAGCGTGCAGGACCTCGGGCTCTGGGGCGAGTGAGGCTTTAGGCTGAGGCTTCGCGGGCTTACTTCAAGATGGAAGCTGTCCAGCTGCCCCCCCCAGTCGAAGGCGGAAGGACGGAAAGGGAGCTCTTTAGGCTCATGGGTTATAGGGGCTCTTTGAAGGGGGCTTTGGGAGGAGGTGGTGAGGACACGGGAAGAATGCCGAGGGCCCTAGATCGGGATTATACGTCTAGGACCAGACATACTTCCCTTCGGCCCCCCCTCCAACCCTGTACGTTAAAACTCCTAAACCCTATAAACCCTAAACCCTAAACCCTATAAACCCTAGACTGCAAACCCACAGGGCCTTGTGCTACTGCTTGTGCTGCTGCTTTTGCAGCAGGCTGGGCACCTGGCTGGCAGCCAGCTAAACCCTGAGCCCTAAACCCTCAACCAGGGCCACCAAAGCATGCCAAAGCTAGAGGTGAATGGGAGCGTCTCTGAAAACATCAAAGCTTCATAAACGTTGATTGGGGCTTCTTTGGAGTCTTGGCGCAAAACGGGGCTACAGGTTGAATCTGGGCTCCTTGCACTCCCAGCCCTAGAATCCTGAAACTGTCAACCCTAGACGTAGACCCTACACACTAAGCCGTCTAAACCCGCCTCTAATCTCCAACCCTAACCTGTAAACCCTAAACCATGAAACCAAAGCCGATGGTTTGGAGGCGCTGGGGCCCCGACTTGGGGTGGGTGCTGCTTTCTCCGGCAGCCTCGCGCCTGCCACCAAAAGCCACGTCAGGAGTGACCCTACAAACACCCCAAGCCCTAAACTCTGAACCCTAAACCCTGAATGCTGAGAGCCCTGAACTCTACACCAACCGAAGCCAAACAAAGCCTTGACCCCCGAGCCCTCCGAAGTGCGCCGTGAACATGCCTCAGGCGGCCTCCGCTGCTCTGCAGCCCCTAAACCCTACAAGCCCGAACCTTTGGGTAGTTCGGGGTGGTCGGGCAGCGGGCATCATAGGACCCCGGTGGAGTACGGTGGGCTGACCGGCGTTCGACGCGAAGGCGAAGCAGCCATCGAGGCACGAGCATGGCGCCATGGCCATCGTAGCCCCAAGGGCTTCGGATCTTTTGAGGGTTTGGGGTTTTAGGGCTGAGTGGTGAATAGCCTGAATAGCTTAGCGTTAAGGTTGCTGCGCTTTCACTGGAGCTGGCTTTCACTCAAGCACTGCCGACTGTGCTGTACAGACCATATCCGAAGATCCAAGATCAACACCCTGAACTACCCTAGAAGCCCCACCTAGCTTTTCAGCTTCAGGGGATGACACCAGTGGCTCAAGAGCGAGCTGGAGCCACCGGCAAGTGCACGTATCAAAGGCACCTCTGAGTTCTGAGCTGAACTGTATGCAGCATTAAGGTCCTCCAACCCTAAACCCTAAGCCCTTTTCCCCAGAGTTGCAGGGCCTTCATACCTGGAGGCCTGCTGTTTTGAGGGCCCTGGACCCTTTAGGGGCTTTCCGGCCCACATAAGGTACCTCCTGTTAGCAACTCCAACTATGCACCTTGACCTGAAGTTCGGGATTGGAGGCTTGGGCTTTTCACCTTAAGACTTAGGGGTTTAGGGGCTTGGGGCTCTTTGGGGGTGTTTAGAGGCCCTTGTGCCTAGAGCAAACAGGCCCCGCGGGAATGTTTTGTGAAACTGCTTCGACATCAGGCGTCTCGCGCGTGCGTAGGCCTCACGCCTTCAGTGCGCCGTGCGGCGGCCCAACGCAGTCCCTTTTCTACATTGGGAAATCCCAGTACTACTGTAGTATAGTACTTCCCAAAAAAAGGTCAACCCGAAACCCTACACCCCCCACCCCTGTCCCCATACGTCGTGTGCCGCTCACAGGAAGATGCCGCCCGCACGGCCTTGGCCAAGGCCAATGAAACCCTAAACGCCCTAAACCCAGTGACTGAACCCCTTTAGAGCTTTAAGGATCCTTAAGGCGTAGGGCGGGTGTAGAGTTTAGGGGGTTGGGGGTTTAGGACGTGTAGGCGGCTGTTTTTAACAACCGTATGCCAGCGTAGACCCCGAGCAGTGAGAGACCATGTGAGCCCAGAAGTTCTAAACCGACGACAGTCTCACAGTCCGCGAGAACAGACGTCCAAAAGCGACGACGATGTCGAGGACGGCGAGCGCGCCCACGCCTGCGCCTAAGCGAGGGCGCGATTTTCGTTCAATAAGCGAGCAAGCTTCGAGAAAAGCGCATGGTCCAGGCCGTGCGCGCCGCTGCGCCCGCCGCGTAGCAACGACCTACCCCCGCTTTTACTCTGCACGTTGGAAGCCTTCAGTGTTGGCACAGTTCTTGAGAAAACATGCAGCGCTTCAGAAGAGTATCTGGGGCTTGAAGCTGTACATGCACCCCTGTTTAGCCAAGATAAGCTGCTGCTCAGCTACTCCTCTAAACGACAGAACAACTCCGCGCTTGCGGTTCTCTGGGGGCCCGCACGGCGCCGGCCGATGGGCACGAACGCGTAGCCGGGCGGGAGCGCCACGTACCAAAGCGGATGGAAACTCCTCGGTGGGGGTGATTGGGGCATGCTTGGAATTTTGGCTTCAGGGTATGAGGGTCTGGATGTTTCGGTTCTTTGGGGTTCAAGGGCTACTTGGGGGTATGAGGGTTCCCTGAACCCTAGAGCCCTGAACCCCGAACCCTAAACCCCAAAGTGTGTGGATCTTCCTTTATCTTTCCTTCCTTTCGCACTCGCTGGGGGAGCTCAGGGCTGTTGGGTTTTTGGCCTTGTCTTTTGGAGAGGGGGGGGGGATGGAGCGGGCTGGATGGTTGACGGCGATATTTGAGACCTGGCCTCAATTAACTTCCCGAGAAGCCTACTGCCTGCGACAGCTGCAAACGGGCTTTGCGTTCTAGGGCTTCAGGGGCTTGAATTGGGCATGAGAAAGCAGAAGTCAGATCTGCCATCCGAGGGTCTGCTGCTGGACGTCCATCCTCGGCTGTCTGCTGGGGGGCGCGCTTGCGTGGTAGGGCCCGGGTTTTGGAGCCCAGCTTCGCATACTTTTTGAAGCTGGAAACCCTGAAGCCCTGCTGCCTTTCCCCCGACGCGCCCGCCACCCGGGCCCCAACAAGAAAACGGAAGCCCGACCGAGCCCAAACCCGAAACCCTCTCAGCAAGCCGAAGCGCGGCGTCTTCGTGAATGCGTGGCCGCCCCGCTGCGCCTCCGGCAGCACCCCGCAATAGTAATTATGAAAAAGGGCGTAAGGTTGAAGGGGAGGGTTTGGGGTTTCAGAGGTTTAGGGGGCTTTGGGGTTTCGGGGCGTGGGGACTTTGGGCCTTAGGCGAACGGAGGAATCAAAACGGAAGCGCAGACACTGCATGACCCCACAGCTTCAAGTCTCAACCTGGCTTGTCTAATGTGAAAGGGCAACTTCCGCCAAACATGGCCAAGACCTACAGCCCCCCCCCCCGCCCCATTCAAATCCGAGAGTCTACACGCCAAAAACTCTATGCCCTGATGTCCCCCCGCCCAACTTGTCAATCTCCACCAAAGCCTCAGCCTCAGCCTCGAACCTGCACCCCAACATTTCAATCCACGCAGGCTCAAAGCCTAATTACTGTCCCGAATGCCCGCAGTACTTTCAATCCACGCAAACTCCAAGCCAAAATCCTGTAGCCCCGAATTACCACAGTACTAAATCCTCAGCCTGCGGGTTCAATCCGCATTTGTAGCTGAGGCAACGTTCGGGTCTATAAGAATGGTAGATGGGTTCACAGGGCTTAAGCATCGCCTCCATTACCTCCTCCGGCGGCGGTGGCTCATCGTCGTACCTTCCGGCTCGCGGAGTGGAAGATGATTGCAGTCTTCGGCTATAAGTTATGAGCTTTACGTTAATGCAGGGCACGAAACTTTTGAAGGAAAAATAGGGTATGAGGTATGAGGGGCTGCAAGACGATGTCATGCTCTGCAAGGCCTCAGCTGCCGAAGAGCAGGCTTGCGGGGGGGGGGGGCAAGGGGGCAATGAACAAAGACCCGTTCACCCAGCCCACAAACCACTGTTGGCACGACGACTGCTGCTACTCCAGCAAAAGGGTGTTTGGCAGTTTGCCCGTTGATGAAACATGCAGCGCGGATGCTACTTCGCCATGATTGAACCGACTTCGCGTCTTGTCAAGAGCGGCCCCCTGGGCCATGAGCGCCCGAATGTCACTCCGCAAAGCGCGATAAACGCTAACTGAGTTCAGGTGCTGGTGTCGCAACTTCATGATTCGAAGCTGCTCTGAGAGTCTTGCAACTTCATCCGCTTGACTAGAGACCTTCCTCCTCCGAAGCAGACCCTGCTTTGTGTGTATCCCGCGTGCTCTTTCGCAACCTGCTGCCGTCAAACGCTGGTATCTTGCCTGGTTGCCGACAAGCTGGGCCAAGCGATGTCTTGTGTCGTGAAAATTGGCATCGTCAAGGCCCAGGGCCAGCATTGCAGACGGCCTTTTCACCAACATACCATTGTCTAATAATCTTCGCAATATCAATGTTGCACCATACCTCGCCGAAATTCTCAAATTCGTGATATTATGTGCCTGAAGACCCCAAAATAGATCTACACCCAAGTCAGCCCAGCAGAAGTTAGCGATCCAGATAAGCACAAATCGGCTCTTCTGCGCAAGATACAATGTAATGGACTGGTGGGGTGACAGATAGATACAGCCTTCAGCGTCGAAGAACCCTGCGACGTAAGCCCAAGAACACGTATGGCGCGGGGCATCCTGTTGCGACTTCAGAGCTACAAGCTTCATCATGGCTGGGATCCGATCTTGCATCTTGACAGGCCAACACGTCACCAATTCTAGCTGGCGCCGTTTCACAACAGTCTCTTCAGCAAGCCTGGCTGCTGCCTGCTGCGCAGCTTTCCCTGTAATGCTCCACCGCAAGGCCGGCCGGCGGATGCCCCTGCCCTTCGAATGCACGTACACTGCACCTCCGAAAGTCTTCAAGAACAGCACCAAGATCGCGGCATTGGAGCTAGACTGGCCCACAGAGAGCTCGACTGATGTACGGTGCCCTCTCACACATCCATCGCCATCAAAGAACCCTGCCAAGTAACGCAGAAGCTGGACAGGTACGTGGGCACTGCCTACTGAAGTGATCCGGCATGGGAGCGCAAAGGTCTCACCGAAGGCCTGGAAGTGGGTAAGTGCAGGCCAGACCAAGCGAGATTGGAAGGACTTGAGCACATCAATGCGCCGCTGAAGGGTCTGCAAGGACTTGCCAGCCATTCCGGTGCTACCAGTATCTCGAGCTTTGTCTGGGCCGACACTTGCCGGAAACCAAATGGGAAGGCTTCGGGTTTTTGTGTCTGCGCATCTCATTGGCTTAACAATCTCATGATTCCAATCGTCCCAAAGATAGAAACGGATCCCTGCTCTAGAAGAATCCACACTGCACACAACGTAGTGCTGGAGAAGGAAACTGACACCAAGAAACCAGCAGTGATGCTGCTTCCCCCGAACCTCAATCGTTGCAAGGAAATTTGTCCTGCCTTAGGCTGGGGGCCCGCACTCGTCGGGAACCTCGTTCTCGTCCAGAATCTCGTCGTCCATGAGGGCGCCTCCAACACTGCAGGGTCGGCTTGGGATTCTTTGGGCTCTGGGGCTTTGGGATTTTTGGATGTCCAGGGGTCTCGCGCTGAGGGGGTTCCAGGACCCTGGGCTTCAGTGGGTCTTTGAGGGCTTTCGGGCCTCGGGCAGCTCAGAGTTGTAGCTTTCTGGGTGAGGGACACAAGCACCGAAACAAAGCTTTGTACCTCCCAAGCTCTACAAACTCACACCCCGAACCCCCTGCGTCCGAGACCCCAAAGCCCCACAACTTAGAAAGCCCAGGATGCCTGACAAGGTTGCCGGGTGCGAGCCAATCAAGAGGCCTGCGCAGGATGTGGTCTGCGAAACTGGGATTGTCGGGGGTGTCTTGGGGTTTTGGGTTAGCTGTTTAGGGTTTAGGTTTAGGGTTTAGGGTTTAGGGTTTAGGGTTTAGGGTTTAGGGTTTAGGGTTTAGGGTTTAGGGTTTAGGGTTTAGGGTTTAGGGTTTAGGGAGGGTTTAGGGTTTAGGGCTTAGGGCTTAGGGCTTAGGGTTTAGGGTTTAGGGTTTAGGGTTTAGGGTTTAGGGTTTAGGGTTTCGGGTTTCGGGTTTCGGGTTTAGGGTTTAGGGTCTAGGGTCTAGGGTCTAGGGTTTAGGGTTTAGGGTTTAGGGTTTAGGGTTTAGGGTTTAGGGTTTAGGGTTTAGGGTTTAGGGTTTAGGGTTTAGGGTTTAGGGTTTAGGGTTTAGGGTTTAGGGTTTGGGGTTAGCTGTTTAGGGAATAGGGTTTAGGGTTTAGGGTTTGTAGGGTTTTGTCCATGAAGCCGGGTCTAGAGCCAAGCGGTCCGGGACAAACTCGCGATGTCAGTGAAGAGGGCCGGCTACATCCTCACTCACCGTGGGGCTTGCTGGATGTTAAAGGCTTCGGGTTTCCCCAACCCCACACCCAAAACTCCCCAAGCCCCAGATGAGGAGGATCTCTACTATTGCTTATCCACAAAAACTTCAATTCAACAAACATGTGTTTGTACACACACTCACCAGAAACCAGAATAGAAACGCTACCTCGCAACCCCACACAGCCCTCAACGGCCTGGTGTGTGGGGCGGCAGCTTCCACTGCACGCTGTCGTCGCCGGCCGTGTCCAGCGCAACCAGCCTCGCGGATCTTGGAGTCCGGGCACCCAAACTCTGAAATGAAGCCTGGGCCCTCGAAGTTGCCGACAATTTCGGTGGTTTTTGTTTGCTGTACTTCGGGGGGAATGCAGGTAAACCGTCATCGCTGAAACTCTAATACGCCGGGGTGGGGGGGGGTCTGTTCATGGCTACTTTTTTGCAATGTGGCGATGAGAGCATGACGCACTAGGGTTTGGGGGACTAGTTCGAAGTTCGGGGGGCTTGGGCCTGAGAGTGTCGAAGCCACGTTTAGGGTTTCGGCCTGAACGGCTTGGGGAGCCTTAGATTTTAGGGCTGGGGCCTTCAAATTCCTGAAGCCCTAAACCCTACAAGCCCTAAACCCTACACATTGCACCCCAACCCAAGCAAAAGGGTTTTGGCATTGGGTCCAAATTTCCGATTTGAAGGGAGCTGGGGCTTCGGGTTTTAGGGTTTAGGACCCCAAAATTTTCCCTTCATTCCCCAAAGCCTACCTATGCCTCCTTGAGTCCGGCCGGCCCTCACCCGCTGGCGCCCCCGTCCCTGAAGGGTTTAGGGTTTAGGGTTTGGTGTTTAGGGCTTAGGGTTTAGGGTCTAAGGGAGAACCTAAATCCTCAACCTTGCAAACCCCATAAGGCCCACAAACCCATGCCCTCTAAACCCTATAAACCCCACAACCCTCGACCCCATTCACCCTCTCCACCCAACAACAAAACCCTTTACATCTATGACAAATCCTACAAATGCCACCACCAGACCTTAAACCCTAAACCTTAAACCCCAAGCCGCCCTCTCAACCCTGTAAACCCTCCAAGCCGCCCTCTAAACCCTGTAAACCCTAAACCCTACAGCCGAAAACCCTAACCCTAAGCCCTAAACAACTCCCCTGGCCTCTGTGGAGCTGGCATCTTCAACCTGGAATAGGGTTCAGGGTCCAGGGTTCAGGGTTTAGGGTTCAGGGTTCAGGGTTTAGGGTTCAGGGTTTAGGGTTTAGGGTTTCGGGTTTGGGGTTTAGGGTTTAGGGTCTCGGGTTTGGGGTTTAGGATTTCAGGGTTTGGGGTTTGGGGTTTAGGGTTTAGGGTTTGGGGTTTGGGGTTTAGGGTTTCAGGGTTTAGGGTTTGGGGTTTAGGGTTTGGGGTTTCAGGGTTTAGGGTTTGGGGTTTAGGGTTTGGGGTTTCAGGGTTTAGGGTTTGGGGTTTAGGGTTTAGGGTTTGGGGTTTAGGGTTTAGGGTTTGGGGTTTAGGGTTTAGGGTTTCGGGTTTGGGGTTTAGGGTTTCAGGGTTTAGGGTTTGGGGTTTAGGGTTTGGGGTTTAGGGTTTAGGGGCTCCCAAAAAGTGGGCTCGGAGCTTTGGGCTTTTTAGGGCTCTGGCCGAGGGTTTTGTAGGTTTTAGGATGTAAGGTTGTGGGTGCATCAAGGGACTAAAGGACGGACCCCTACAAGGGACCTTAGGGATTATTTGGGGGTTATTTGGGGCTACTTAGGTACATAGGGACTATATAAGGTATCTATAGGGGACATATAGGGGAATAAGATTAAGGGCCCCTTTAGGGGTCCCTCCTTAGACCCCTTAAGTTTAGGGCCGAGGGTTCAGGGTTTGGGTCTTCTAGGGTTTCTCGCACTATGGTCTGGCAAATAGGGGTTTGGGGGAGTAATTTCGTACATTGATAAAGGGGCCACAAGGGGATACTGTTTGCAATTTTCCGACCCCTATATTGGCGTCTTGGGTTTGGGGGGGCTTGCGGCTTCAAGGTCCTTTTGGGTGCAGATGTTGGCGAACCAGCGCGCTTACCCCAAAACGACAGGAGCATCAACAGGCAACGACTGCCAAATGCACTGGAAATGCCAAGCCATGCCAAGCCCCTCAGTTCAGGTTTCGGGCTTCGGCCTCAGGATTCCAGTAGGGTCACCCTAAACCCTAAGCCCTAAACCCTAAACCCTTAACCTTATAAACCCTAAACCCTAAACCCTAGCCCTAAACCCTAAACCACTCGTTGAGCCCAAGGAAGCAGCCCCCACTGCCTGACGTTCTTCACCGCTGCGGAGGGCGGCGCGAAGAGGAATGTTTGCTGCGGCACCTCCGGGGCCGAGCGGGTTTGGGGTTTAGGGTTTGGGGTTTAGGATTTAGGGTTTAGGGTTTAGGGTTTCAGGGTTTCAGGGTTTAGGGTTTCAGGGTTTCAGGCTTTCACAGTTTCAGGGGTTCAGGGTTTCAGGGTTTCAGGGTTTCAGGGTTTCAGGGTTTCAGGGTTTGGGGTTTAGGGGTACGTAAGGTTTTGGGTTTGGGAGCCTTTCTAATCATGAGCTTGACCCTGTCGTGTACAAAAGCATAGTCGCATTATGAAATTAAATTTTGTAGGTACTAGAGAAATCTTCTGCCTCAGGTTCAAACTAGCTTGGGCAATACGACTGAGGGTTTGGGCTTCTGGCGTGAAGGTCTAGTTTACGACTTGCAACACCCGGTTTAGGATCTAGGGTTTAGGGTTCGGAGTTCAGGGTTAAGGTTCAGGGGCTTTGGGGGTTCAGGGCTTAGGGGCTACTGAGGGCTTAGGCGACCCACTCTTCTGGCTGAAAAGCGGTGTGGCCATCGACTTGACAGGGCACTACAGGAGCCCAACTGCAATAACCTGAAACTGCAAAACCCCTAACCATAAATCTGCTAGCACCGAGTCCTAAACTTTTACACCCTAACTGCCCTGAAACTACAAAACCCCCAACCATAAATCTGCTAACACTGAGCCCTAAACTGTTAAACCCTAACTGCTTGAAACTACAAAACCCGAAACTACAAAGCCCGTAATCATAAATCTGCTAACACGGAGCCCTAAATAAGCCCCACACCGACTGAATCCAGTGTCCTTGCAGGCAGCAGCAATCAGCAGACTTTTTGTCTCCGCACGTCGGGTGGCGGCCACGGAGGATCTCCTCCATCGTCATGTCTCTGTGCGCCTTGAAAGGTTCACAGGATTTATGAGGTTTATAAGGTTTATTGGATTTAGAGGGTTTATAGAGTCTATAGGACTATAGGCGACATGCTAGAGAAGAATAACGCCAATTTGGGGTTTCGGGCTTAGGGGCTTAGGGCTTAACCCCAAACCCTCAACCCTAAACCCCAAAACCCTAAACCTTTTGACCGGGCCTTCTGGGCCCGCCTCCGAAGTCGCTGCGCTCGCAGCAGCTGGCGCTGATCTCGCTGCCGCTGCCGCTGAAGGGCTTGATCCTCTGTTTCATGGGTCGCAGATTGAAACCCCCGAGACGCACCTCTCGTTTTGCTTTGGTGCTTTTGTCATGGTTGCCCTTCAACCCCCCTCTCTTCTACCCCTGGGTTCCCCCCTTAAAGAATTTAGTTATAGAGGGGGGGGAGTAGGGGAACCCATGATTGTTGGCGGCTGGGGGTTAGGGTTTAGCAGGCTTCTAACCCTAAACCCTAAGCCCTCATTCCTCGACGCTTTTGGGGTTTTTGGCGGGAGGTTTGGTTAAGGGTTGAGGAATAATAGGGCTTAAAAGTGGATTGTAAGTGCAGTTATGATTGGGCGTAGGGCGCAGCTTCTGACATGGACGGGAAGCTTTATCAAAGCCGACAACAAGAATCAATCAACACCATCAAACGTTGTAAGTCCTTGTGTTCTTCAGCCCCGATTCCTAAACTCTAGGCCCTAGGTCCCAATGCCGAAACTTAAAACCATACACCGCTCAAACCTCAACCCTCCCGAAGATGCAGCTAAGCTGCCCTACACCCTGAACCCTACACCCTATAGTGCTATACACCCTAAACTCGAATCCCTTAAACCCTGAACCCTTAACTGCCGCTAAGCTGCCCTTTTTTTCTTCAGCTGCCGCGCCTTCGAAGATTGATGCAGAGACTTCCGGCGTCGGATCGACTCCTGGCGGGGGGTCTTAGGGTTTTGGGGTCTTAGGGTTTTGGGTTTTAGGCTTTTAGGCTTTTGGGCTTTTGGGGTTTTACGGTGATCTATAGAGTTTAGGACTGAGGGCTCCAAACCTACCAGACGTGTCTGTCTGACGGTGCTGTGCTCAGGGCTTTGGACCAAGTTGTCTCCGATGCGACCCTATACCCCAGACCCTATAAGCCAGGGCACTCAGCGGATGCAACCAACTGCAGGGTTACCCAGAACCAGAACCCAAAACCCTAACCCTAAAACCCTAGCTAGACCCTGAAACTCTAAAAACCCTAAAACCCTAAACCCGAAAACCCTAAAACCCTAAAACCCTAAAGCCCTAAAACCCTAAAACCCTAAAACCCTGAAACCCCTGAAACCCTAAATCCCTAAAACCCTAAAACCCCAAAAACCCTAAAGCCCTAAAACCCTAAAACCCCAAAGCCTAAAAACCCTAAAACCCTAAAACCCCAAAAGCCCTAAAGCCCTAAAACCCTAACAACCCCAAACCCCCCAAAAACCCCAAAAACCCTAAAACCCTGAAACCCTAAAACCCTAAACCCTAAACCCTGCTTCCGAGCCCTCTCCTCCCGAGCCAAGTGCGCCTGCCACTTCTGCAGAACGCGCTGGAGCTGGTTGGTGGCCCTCTCCATGCGTGCCTCCCACCTCGAAGGGACCACACGAAACCCTTAAAGGTTGGGGTTTAGGGTTTAGGGTTCAGGGTTCAGGGTTTAGGGTTTAGGGTTTAGGGTTTAGGGTTTAGGGTTACAGGGAACTCCAGAAAGTTGGAACATGATAGGATGCCCTATGCTTTACTTTAAGGGCACGAGGATCATGATGTTCTAACTTTCTGGCTTCTACTGTAGTTGAAGGCTTAGGGTTCAAGACTCATGGCTTTGGTTTTGGGATTTTGGGCTGTGGGTTGCCTTAGGCTGGGGTCTATGATCCCACACTCGGGATCCATCCGGTGCGCCCAAGGCGCTTGCGGCGGAGCTCGCTCCTGGCATGGGCGTTGCCGTCGTAAAGCTTCCGGCATCTTGCCAGGATCCGGATGCTTCGGCGCGACCCGTTGTCGGCAATGTCGCAGGCCTCCGCAAAAGCAGCCTGGAAACTCTGCCACTCCTCTTCAGGGTTTGGGTGCCACCGCCACCATGCCCAGCTGTGCATGAAGGGCTTCAGCTTCGCGTGGATGGCATCGAGTTGGCACAAGGTGTACACTGAGGGTGGGGAGACGACGTTTCTCATCCCGAACCAGTAGTTGTTGCCGTAATAGATTTTGAGCTGCAAGTCAGGGTGTGCTGAGCCTCGGCCCACTTCCTGATAGGACCAACATGAGCCCTAAAAAGGGGGTTACGTAGAGGCCCACCGACTCTCTACTGGATGCTAGCGGAGTTTATCGTAGGGTCGTAGACTCCACGTTGCCAGTTTTAGGGTAAGTTCATCTGGTTGCCGAGGTTCCTCTGTTGCGACGGCCAAGGCCTGCTGCAAGCGCTCCTTGAAGGGAAGGTCTGCATAGAGGTAGGCCAACTCCTTGGCCCGCGATAGCCAAACCAGATGCTCCAGAGTTGTAGGTAGGTCCTTTGGCACAGTTCTAGCCGTCACCTGCGGTCATTCGAGGTGTGGCGCTGGGGTTCTCAACAGCAGATGCTCGGGGAAGCCCCCCAAAGAACAACCTTTGCGGGACTATAACGCACCTTGTAGAGGAGGTTGAGCGTTGCGGAGTACTTGCCACCAGGCTCGCCGCAAATGCCACGGAGGTTCCCGGCGCGGCGACGACTGGAGGCGGTAGGATGCTCGCTGCATTCATCGAGTAGACATGCACGGTCCACTATCGTTGAGGACTCTTCTGAGTCACTCTCCAGCTGGATGATGTCGCCATCTTCCTCAAACGATGCCGGCAAGCAAAGGGGAACAACGGCAGCTTCCTCCCCTGCTTCCTCTTGCGGCTGTGGCATCTCGTTACCTTCTGGGTGGACGCTGCGCTCGTCCTTCTCCTGCATCCACTTCCTCGGGGCTCAAATGAAGCCTCGAATCGGGTGCATGCCCCCTGCAAGGTTTAGGGTTCGGGATGACAGGGTACACTGTATTGAAAAAATATGTTTTTTATTATATATAGACGGGTAACGTATGGTCCAGAGCACCCGTGACAGGTTAACTTTGACCTCCAAGGTTCTCCAGCAGCAGGCGCTGCTTCTGGGAGAAGTCCTTGCAGATCACCCCGCGGCGTCGGTCCCGGGGCAGGCGCGCCAGCAGCCTGGACAGTATGGCTGGAAAGCCCGGGAGCGCGACGCAGTCGACGTCGTCGACTTCGTCGACTTCCTCTTCGGCGCCGCCTTGGAAGCCTTTGGCTTCCCTCCCCTAGCAGCTTTAGCCGGCTGAGGCTTCCTCTTGAAAGGCTTCTTGGTCGCGGCCGCGGCCGCGAAGCGCGCGGCGAAGGGGTTGGAAAGCCAGGCGTCGTACTGCGCGCGCTTCTGGCCGTCCCCGAGCACCTCGAAGGCCCGGTAGACCAGGTGGAAGGCCTCCTTGCTGCCCCCCTTGTCGGGATGAACCTCTCAAGGCGAAGGCTCCTAGAACAAGGCGCCCTGGACCCTAAGCCCTGAAAACCCTAAGCCCTAAACCCTAAACACCCTAAACACTAAACCCTAATCGGTCTAGGCAAGCTCCAGGAATGTTATCTGCCGGGTCGGGGGCCACGGAAAGAACTCCTCCTACGAGCCCCCGAGCTGCACCTGGAGCGCGCGCCGCTTGAAAGCCGAGCGGAGCTCCTCCGCGCTGGCCTGGCGCGGGACCTCCAGGGCCTTGTAGAAGTCGCTTTCCGCCATGCGAGGGTTGCTCCAGGCATCCCTACTTGGAGGTTCCTGGGTACCTATAACCCCAATGATAAGCAGCTACTTACAACCTACTTCGAGGACTTAGGGGGCTTAGAAGTGCAGGTATGATTGGGGTTCTAAGTACCATGAACCTCCAAGTATTGCACCAAGTTCTTTACAATTATAGGACGGGCCTTTGGCTTAGAACAGCCACCACGTGCCGCGAGTTTCGTTGGGGGACGAGATGGATCCGGAGAAGCCCTAGAGGCCCTTAAAGACGATGATGCAGAAGGGTGCCTAGAGCAACCCAAAAGACACATGTGCCTGAATGGTTTGGGTGTCCTAAACCCCCTTGTTTTCATGGTGCGAGGTTCCTCAAAGACTTCCTAAGGCCCGTAGATACATAGGTCTAGGGTTTATATCGCTTAGGGCTTGCGGAGTCAGAAGGAAGCAGATGCGCAGACAGCGCCGAAACCTGGGCGCCTACTCGCCCGGCACCCTGCGGATCGACTCTTAGTGTAACTCCAAACCCAAGTAAACACTGCCCTGAGAAGCCTACATGCCTAAACCTCTATAGACGAAAGCACTGAAGCCCCAACGCCCCAAACTTAAACCCTAAACCCTAAACCCAAGTAAACGGCTAAACCTCCAAAAATCCTGAAACTTTAAGCTCCTGGACCCTAAACTCCCCAGCTCATAAACTCCTAAACCCCAAACTCCTCTAAAAACCTAAGCCCCGAAACCCCAAACTCCCAGACCCCAAAAGCCCAAAACCTTAAACCGCAAACCCTGAACCCTCTAAACCCTCTAAAACCCTCTAAACCCTCTAAACCCTCTAAACCCTCTAAACCCTCTAAACCCCCTAAACCCTCCAAAACCCTCCAAAACCCTCCAAAACCCTCCTAAGCCCTCTAAACCCTCCAAAACGGGTGCCTGTTGCGACTCGGTGACGTCGACTTCCACCCTGGGAGCTTTGCCAGGGGGCTCGTCCTGGTTTTGGGTTCAGGGTTTAGGGTTTAGGGTTCAGGGTTCAGGGTTCAGGGTTCAGGGTTCAGGGTTTAGGGTTGAGGGTTCAGGGTTCAGGGTTTAGGGCTTCGGGCTTAGGGCTTGGGGTTTGGGGTTTCATGTTTTCCGTTCAGGGTTTAGGGTTCAGGGTTCAGGGTCTAGGGTGCCGAGCTTCTGAGGAGCGTTTTAGGGCTTAAGGGTGTGGGGTTGGGTGTGTGGGGTGCAGGGTTTGGGGTTTGGGTTTGGGGTTCGGGGTTTGGGGTTTGCGGTTTGGGGTTTGGGGTTTGGAGTTCGGGGTTCGGGGTTCGGGGTTCGGGGTTTGTCCCATCACACCCTGAACACTCATGCGCGAACCCTACACTCGAAGCCCCTGACCCCCCAAGCCCCTGAGCCCTCAACCCTTAGAGTTTGGCCCTAAGCTAAGCCCTAAACCCTAAACCCTAAACCCTAAACCCGAAACCCGAAACCCGAAACCCTAACCCTAAACCCTAAACCCTAAACCCTAAACCCTAAACCTTAAACCCTTAACCCTAACCCTAAACCCTAAACCGTGAACACCGTCCTCCGCAGAGATCATCAAGGGTCGCTCCCTTGGCTTGGGCAGCGGCGGACCTGAGAGGAGGGTCTTCTTGAGCATCGGATTGCGGAGGCCCCAGAGGGGGGGTTTAGGGTTTAGGGTCTAGGGTCTAGGGGTTAGGGTTTAGGGTTTAGGGTCTAGGGTCTAGGGTCTAGGGTATTGGGTTTAGGGTTTAGGGTTTAGGGTTTAGGGTTTAGGGTTTAGGGTTTAGGGTTTAGGGTTTAGGGTTTAGGGTTTAGGGTTTAGGGTTTAGGGTTTAGGGTTTAGGGTTTACGGGTTGATAGGTGTTGCATCGGAACTCGTCACAGATTGTTCAGAGAGCGAGAGGGCAAGAGAGAGAGAGGGAGAGAGAGAGAAAGCGACGGGTTGTTGCTGTTGCTACGTGACAGGGCACATTGGGCTTCAGGCTCCCCTAAACCCTAAACCCTAAACCCTGAACCCTCAACCCTAAACCCTAAACCCTAAACCCTAAACCCTGAACCCTCAACCCTAAACCCTAAACCCCAAGGATTTAGCACTGCGAGCTCAGGCCCTCCAAGCCTGGTCAGGCCCCAGCCTGAACCAATGAAGGGTTTGCAGTTAGGGTTTAGGGTTTAGGGTTTAGGGTTTAGGGTTTAGGGTTTAGGGTTTAGGGTTTAGGGCTTAGGGTTTTAGGGCTTTAGGATGTTTAGGGTTTTAGGGTTTTGGGGTTTTAGGGCTTTTTTGGGGGGTTTTAGGGATTTAGGGCTTTTAGGGTCTTAGGGTCTTAGTCTCTTAGGGTCTTATGGTCTTAGGGTCTTAGGGTTTTAGGATCTTAGGGTCTTAGGGTCTTAGGGCTTCAGAGTTTTAAGGTTTTAGAGTTTTAGGGCTTCAGGGTTGTTTAGGGTTTTTAGGTTTCAAGCTTCGGGCTCAGGGTTTTATGAGTACCTACCCTAACTTACCTAGGGCCCAAAGGCTGAGGGTTTTAACCCTAAACCCTAAACCGTAAGCCCTAACCGTAAACCCTAAACCCTAAACCCTAAACCCTAAACCCCAAACCCTAAACCCTAAACGCTAAACCCTAAACCCAAAACCCTAAACCCTAAACCCTAAACCCTAAAACCTAAACCCTAAGCCCTAAACCCTAAACCCTAAACCCTAAACCCTAAACCCTAAACCCTAAGCCCTAAGCCCTAAGCCCTAAACCCTAAACCCTAAACCCTAACACCACGAAGCCTGAGCCGCACACAGGGCGGGCACTGGATGGGCTCGGGCTCGCCTGGGCTCTTGCTGCGGGGTGCTCGGATCCGAGGGTTTAGGGTTTAGGGTTTCGGGTTTCGGGTTTAGGGTTTAGGGTTTAGGGTTTAGGGTTTAGGGTTTAGGGTTTGGGGTTTAGGGTTCAGAGTTTGGGCTTTATTGGGATGTTGGGCTCAGGGCTTCTTGAGTAGAGTTTTAGGCTCTCTTGACGGATGTGGCCGCCTGTCATCCAGGCCAGAGTCTGAAAAACATTTCGGAGGGCCCGTACTTAGAGGTTCAGATTACTCATAACCCCACCAATTATGGCTGTACCCCTAAACCCTAAACCCTAAACCCTAAACCCTAAACCCCTCATAGGCCCCCGAAGTCCCCTAAGTAGGTTCTAAGTAGACTTGTAATTGGGGTTATAAGTACCCATGAACCTCCAAGTAGGGCAAGTGGGGGTCACCAGCATCAAGGGTCCCTTAGGGTGCAGGGGTTTAGGGGTTTAGGGGTTTCGGGGTTTAGGGGTTTAGGGGTTTAGGGGTTTAGGGGTTTAGGGGTTTAGGCGTTTAGGCGTTTAGGGGTTTAGGGTCTAACCCTCACCTGACGTGAGGAAGGTCGTCACCGTCGACAGGGATAAGCTCAGGTGAAAGCATGGTTTGGAGCTTGTGGGCCATCAGGAGCATGTGGAATATGGATCTGCCAGCTCCGATGCCCATCATGACACCAGCTTGGACTGCTCCGAAGCATGTTTTCAAACAGGAAATGTAGGATTGGCGCCACATCTGCTGTGGACATCTACACTCAAGTTTCTTTCCGACTGTGGCGACCATGAAGCGAACCAGGTCTCTGGGTCTCTAGGTCTAGTGTAAGGGGCTCTGGCCGCCTACGTTTCTGCGACTTGGCAGTGAACCCGAAACTCTAAATCTGCTAGGTGTATAGGCTTTCAAAAAATTTTGTTGCAAGCCCACGAAACGAGATAAGGAAGCTCACCACGCTCAAACGAAAACAAGAACAATAAAAAAACAGCAGCCCGCAATATACGTGTTATGTATATATCTATACAATCTTTCCAGTCCCGAATCTCACCCTCCAACTAAAATTTGAAGACCCCCGAATCTGAAACCCTAAGCCCTAAGCCCCTGAACCCTACTAAACACCTAAACCCTTAAACCCCTACACCCCTAAACCCCCAAAACCCCCAAAAAACCCTAAAACCCCTAAAAACCCTAAAACCCCCTAAACCCCCTCAAACCCCTAAAACCCCTAAAACCCCTAAAACCCCTAAGACCTCAAAAACAAACCCTAAAACCCCTAAAACGCCCAAATCCTAAAACCCTCTAAACCCCTGAACCGTTGAACCCCTGAACCCCCCTGAAGCCCTAAACCCTAAACCCTAAACCCTGGCCCTAAAAAAAAATGAACTATTGGAAAACCCCCTACAGGCTAAACCCTAAACACCTAAGCCCTTAAGCAAAAACAATCGGCTGGGCGTGGCGCTTATACCCTAAACCCTACACCCTAAACCCTAAACCCTAAAAACCCTAAACCCTAAACCCTAAACCCTACACCCTAAACCCTAAACCCTAACCCTAAACCTAAACCTAAACCCCAAACCCCCTGGCTGGGGGTGGCACCCATGGGGCCCACAGGGCCCATGGGGCCCTCAGGGGGTATCCCCATCTCTGCCTCGGCCTCCTGGCGGCTTAGAGATTGCGGCTTAGGGTTTAGGGTTTCGGTCTAAGCTTGCAAGCTTCAGGTGGCCCTGAACCACCCAAAGCCCTAATCTCTTGACCCACCCCAAGTAACTCACGGAACGATAAATCCTCAAACTAAACACCAAAACCCTGATACCAACCCTGATACCAACCCTGTGAAGCCTTCAGTAGCAGATAAAACCAAAGCCTTAACCCTCAACCCTCCACCCTAATTCAGCTAAAATCCCCTAAACCCTAAACCCTAAGACCCTAAGACCCTAAGACCCTAAGACCCTAAGACCCTAGGACCCTAAGACCCTAAGACCCTAAGACCCTAAGACCCTAAGACCCTAAGACCCTAAGACCCTAAGACCCTAAGACCCTACAAAGGGCTCCTGGACCTCCGGGGGCGTCGCGGGCGGTGGGGACACAATCTGTCCTTCGGCCAGGTTTCACTGTGGGGTTTACGGTTTCGGGCTTAGTTTAGGGTTTAGGGTTTAGGGTTTAGGGTTTAGGGTTTAGGGTTTAGGGTTTAG